TGGTCTTCTCTGCAGGTGCGCGGCGGCTTCTCCAACCTCCAGGTCCGCTGTGGCGGACTACTGCTCTCGGCGGTCACCTCTGCCATGGCGCATCACTCCCTGCACACGACGCAGCGCGTGGAATAGCGGGTACCAGCTCCGATACCAATGCAATCAGACTTGCTTTCATTCACACTTTACATGTTTGCAAACAGGCGCACAGCAAAGTGGCGACAAGTGCCCACACAAAACTCAGAGATATGGTCACCGAAAACACAGTCCAGATACAAGTTCACTTTCGATGGCTATGGCGACTCAGCGCCCAAACAACTCTCTGTTTGCATACCCCGGATCACCTTGGATATCCCACACGCGTCTCTCTGAACACTCACACACACACACACTGAACACTCACCACAGCTACGGCGGCTATAACCTCAAGTACCCTATCGCTATGCTACGCTCCTTCTCTCTCGCCCACTTTGGCTCCGGGCTCACTGCAGACCTCCTTGCACAAGTCGCTGTGGCAGCGCTTCCGCATGGCTCACGCAGGAATGAATGAATGGCTGGGCGCTGCCTCTTGATTTATACTTCTGAAGCTCGTTGGTCTGCCCTTTTCCATCGGCCCATGGTGCTCACAGTCCCTCGTGGTACTTGCTGGACCGGACTGGGACGGACTGGACCTTACCGCTGACTGAATGGGGACTCACTGCTATCCTACCGCTATCGTATTGCGAACGTACTGCAGTTGGTCCACCACTTGCCCACTTGCCCACTTGCTTGACCTTCTAGAAGGACTACAACTAAGACTTCTGGAACTCACTAAGACTTTTATTCTACAGATCTACAGATCGAACCCCTGCTACCTACGGACCCTACGACAGTCTACTAACTGTTACAGATACACAGGTCGTGGGTTCAAGCCTTGGGGTCAACACAGATACTGTACACCGGTAGGGTAATGGCTAGGGATCGAGCCCTGGGGTCTGCATCTGCTACTGCAAAAGGTGAAAACCGTTTCAGTAAAGTTCCAAACGAACTTGCGGTAATAGTTGGTCAGATCGAGAAACGAGCGCAGTTCCGTCAACGTGCGTGGGTTAGGCCAATCTCTAATGGTTGCAATCTTAACGTCTTCCAGTTTGATCCCATCACCATCTACCATATGTCCCAAGTAGGCCATGTTCTAGCGGGAAGCTCATTCTCATTTTGCACATTTCGGGTGTGGTGCGGCGATGCCCTCTTTATGTCTCTCTCTCTCTCTCTCTCTCTCTCTCTCTCTCTCTCTC